TCCATTGTAAAGTTACTGTTCAACTTTTCAATTAATAGATTTTGTGGTTGTTTTTTCTTTTCAGTGCTGAGGATTGAACCCAGGGCCTCATGCATGCTAAGCACATGTTCTGTCACTGAGCTATACCCACAGCCCCTAGTTCTCCTTTTGAGGGACTTTTTCAAAAGATTCTTTACCAGTAAATGAATTGTGGGGAGGCAGGGATTAGTTCTAAATCTTTTACGTTTTGAAAGCAAAACTGATTTGGTTCTCCAGGAATTAGTTGAGACCCAGAAGACTCATGTTTTATGGATCACATCAGCTAAATGAATGGAGGATCATTTGAATAATGTATAATTAATTTATTCCTTTAAATGTTTCTTAAATATTTCCTTTTACTAAGATGAAGTTTCTTTCCTAGGGTATGCTTATCATCTTTTCAAAGCTGAATTGCTTTCAGCCTAGAGTGAAAGATGTATTAAAGGATCCCATCAAATTAATTGTTGGATTTACTAGAAAGATGCTGTTGAGAATACTGGTCACATGATCTTGTCTTTAGGAGATACTATGGGAGGAATTTATCTTCTTTTTACTATTGGGAATAGTAATGCCTCCATTGGGCAAATTGTTTTATTATCTATATGGATATTGAGACTGTTACAACTGATCTTGTTTTTCCTTGTAACACCTGCTAGAAATCCTAAATCAAGTGTTTAGGACCTTAGAGCATATATGTTTATGCATTATTTTTCTTCTGTTTTCTTTTCCCCCCGATTTTCCTATTTTAATTATTTTTTTAATCTGTATACCGAGTTTTTCATAAACCACAAAAAGTTTCTTAGAAATAAGTACTTTCCTAGAAACAAATAATGTACAAATTTTTAACACATGCTAAATATATTAATCATTTTGGTGATGTACAACCATATCTTCCCAACTATATAATAAGCACCAAAGAAAAGGGTTTTGTCTTGTTCACCCCCATAGCTTAATGTGGTCTGTAACACAAACTAAGTGTCTGGTAAATTTGTCTAATATGTTAATGTTGATGATTCCTTTTTTCAAATTTCCTCATCCCTTTTGTTTGGGGTACTACTTTATCCAGTTTTTCTTTTACTGTTCTAGTCCCTCAGTTCTGTTTTTCACTTTCCTTGCCTATAAAAATGTCAGTATTTCTCAAGACTTTGTTTTTTCTAAAATTCTTTGTGTTTTCTTCATACCACCCCCACCACCACATTTATATCCAAGGTTCCAGTTAACTTCCAGATTAGACTCCTAGGCAGCTTCATTTGGATATACTAGAGTTATCTTAAACTTGGTATACCCTTAATGGAACACATCATTTCCATGCTAAACTTGCTCCTACTTTAGTATTTTCTGTGGTCATCAATGACACCTCTATTTCCCTAGTCACCCAAGTCAGGAATCCTAGGCTTTCTTTCACATGCTCACAAATTCAATCAACTACCCAATTATAGAGCTTCAGCCCTACAAATATCCAGACACACAAAGGAAATGATCAAACCAATTACAGGCATGTGCCAGTGTAGCCAGATTAAAAAAAAAAAAAATTATGGTGCAAAGGATGGAACCCAGGGCTTCATGCATGCAAGGGAAGTGATCTATCACTGAGCGACACCCACAACCCCAATGACCTGGGCTTTTCATCCACAGTACTTGACAGTACTTGGCATATGTTGAAAGGAAGAATGAACTATATTAGTGATTTTTCAAAGGGGATTCTAAAGCAGTGCCTTACATGTTATAGTAGGGGACTGAGAGAAACGTGAGCTTTTTGCCCACTTCTAGGCTCTCTTTTATTTGGTTCAAGTATTAGGCTGAGATTGTAATAGGAATGCCAGTGTTTCAGAAAATATTGTACAAACCTTTACATTATTTGATTTTAAAGTATTTTCTCTCTTCAATATTCTGGGATGGAAGTATATTTTATGAAGCCTGGGTTCAATCACCAGCATAAAAAAACAAAACAAATCGAATCAGATCTTCAGAGTTCTATGATTGTAGATGAAAATAACAACAGTCATACAGGACTATACCTTAGTTAGGATGGGGCATTCACAAGCAAGGTTAACAGTGGTTATGGATATACATTTAGTCATGTTGGGGATGGAACCTAAGACCTTGCACATGCTAGGTAGAGGGAGAAGTTACAATGGAGTACCTCAGCTGATCCTACAATTCTGTAAATATGATGATCCTTGAGGATTGTCTCAAGCTGAGATAAGCAGTAAGTAGGTTGGGACTTTTATCCATGCATTGATTAGTTAGTGGATGTGGTCTCTCTGGAAATATTATTTGTTGTACTGGAGACTGAACCCAGGGGTGCTTTACCAGTGAGCTATATCCCCAGCTTTTTATTGTTTGAGACAGAATCTCACTAAATTGCCCAGGCTGGCCTCAAACTTATGATCCTCTTGCCTTGGCCTCCACAGGGATGTAATATAAAGTATATGGCTGGACACACAAGACTCAGAAAGCCACAATTATTGTGGTCATGTTACGTAGAATTTGGCTCTGTAAGTACACAGAGCAAGATAGGGAAACCATGTTGCTACTAGCACCAAGTAGACTGAAGGAAAGCTTCCTGAGCCTGGTATGCAGGCCTCTCTGTAGTCCAGTTACTCAGGAGGCTGAGGTGGGGAATCTCTTGAGCCCAGGACTTCAATGCCAGCCTAGGCAATACAGTGATAGATAGGTTAGATAGATAAATAAATGTATTTCTCAACATAAAAATGTACCCTTGAGGCAGATGCTGTTTTGAAATGGAAACTAAAACAAATACAGGAGCCATTTCAACCACTGAGTAACTTTTATTAGCCATGTTTAAAGAAGGCACACAAATCCATTTGCCTGAAAAAATTGCTTCGGAGATAAGGAAAAGAAAAGCAATACTTGACAACTGTAAGAGAGTACCACTTTATGTCTTTTATCACTGGGTTTGATATTTTTGGAATATGTCTTCTAATTACAGACAGTGAAGGAAGTTGAGTTTTCCACAGCTCATAAAGGAAGCAATTATGTGTTGGACTTATTTGTATGCTCAATATGGTTGGTAGATGCATTGGATATTTTGGGGGGTTGGGGATGGGGCTAGGGATTGAACACAGGGCCTGCACATGCAAGGCAAGTACTGATCTACACCCCCAACAATCCACCTCCCCTTTTAAGTTTTATTCTGAGGCAGGCTCTCTCTAAGTGGCCTAGACTGGCCTTGACTCAAGTAGGTGGGACCACCACGTTTTGCCTGGAGATTTATATTTATAAATATATATATGTAAAATGATTTACATATATATATATATATATATATATATATATAAAATAATTTTTGGTATGGGGATTGAACCCAGGAGCACTTAACACTGAGCCACATCTTCAGTCCTTTTTGAGATAGGGTCTTGCTAAGTTGCTTAGGGCCTCATTAAATTGCTGAGACTGGTTTTGAACTTGTGATCCTCCTGTCTCAGCCTCCAGAGCCACTAGGATTACAGGCATGCACCATCCTGCCACACAGTGCTGGGATTAAATCCAGGGCCTGGAATTTATTAAGCAAGCACTCTACCACCAAGTGATATCCCCAGTTCTTTTTTATTTTGAGGCAGGTTATAGCTAAATTGCCCAATCTGGCCTCATCCTTTCCAGTCACTGGGTACTATCACACCCAGCAATATAGCTTTTTAATGTTTTTATTTTTTTTGGTAGTGCTGGGGATCAAACCCAGGGCCTTGCATATACTACGCAAGTGCTCTACCACTGAGTTATTACCCACAGCCCCCTACCTAGAAATTTTTGAGAGTATTTATTGAGCCCTGTTTTGTGCCATGGTTCTGGGAATAAAGCAACGAACAAAAGTTACTAAATCCAAGCCAGGCCCCATGGTGCAGGCCCCTAATCTCAGTGGCTGGGAAGCCTGAGGCAGGAGGATGCGAGTTCAATGCAAGCCTCAGCAACAGAGAGGCTCCAAGCAGCTCAGTGAGACCCTGTCTCTAAATAAAATACAAAATAGGACTGGTGATGTGGCTCAGTGGTTGAGTGCACTTGAGTTCAATTTCTGGTACCCCCCTCCCCTAAAGTTACTAGATTCTGCTTTTAAAAATACCGGACTGGGATTGTGGTTCAGTGGCAGAGCACTTGCCTAGTATGTGTGAGGCCCTGGGTTCGATCCTCAGCACCACATATAAATAAAGTGAAAAATCCATTGGCAACTAAAAAAAATAAAAAAAAATACTACATGCTTGGTGAGGAAGACATTTGCAAGTAATGTCTGGAAGTGATAATTGTATGAAGGTAGAAAGTGGATAAGTAGTGACCTGGAGATACGCTCTTCCGGAAGCTCTCTGATAGTGACCTCTGAAAAGGTACCTGAAATGCGCATCGAACATCTATGAGTTAAATCTGGGGGAAGTGCTCTAGCTGGAGAGAACAGCAAGCGCAAAGGTTGGAGCTTGCGTGCTGTGATGAGAGCCAGAAAACCTTGGAGGTGAGCTAGGGAGGTCGTCCCGTTAGCGATGAGGTAGGCAGAAGTATTTAAAATATACCACACTACCAAGGGAGCTAGGGCTTAGATTCTCAAAAGAAACCAAAGGTTAGGATGAAGCAGTCGTTCAACAGTGGAGAAAAGAGGCGGTATCTCCTTGAGTAGTGACAGGACAGACCACTGCAGGGGATGGACTGGGTCCTGCCCTCAGAAGACCAACCCTCGCCCAAGGGCGGGAACCCGCCGAGAGGGCGGGCCTCGGCAGCCCTCTGCCCGTGGGCGCTGCACAGGCCACGATTACCAGCAGGCGGTGCAGTGAGCGCGCCTGCAGCCGCAGCCGCCGCCGCCGCCGCCGCTGCCTGCCGGTCCCAAACAGGAGGAGAAAGGAGGGGACCGGAAGGAGCCGCTGGTGCTGCGGGAAGTGGCAGGAGCGGGAGGCGGGGACCCACCTGGAAGCGCCGCGGCGCCGCTGTCGAGCTTCCTGCGGCGGCAGCCAGTCAAGCAAGTGCCGTGGCGGGAGCAGAGAGCGGCCACGGTAGCGGCGCCTCCCGGAGTGGCCCGTCACGCCCGGCCCCGCGCGGAAGGTGAGCAGGCGCTCGGGGCACGTGGTGGGGGCCAGACTCGGGGGAGGGAGAAGAAAGGGGGAGGGCGGGGGTTGAAATGATCTGCTCTGGGACCCGGATTTGGAGCCAAATGCTGGGAGGGGGTGGGCTGGAGGCTGCTGCGGCGACGGCGACGGCGAAGCCCCCACGTGGGGCGGGGGTGCGCGCGCACGTGTGCGCGGGCGAAAGGGGGCGGGGAGGGCTCTTGGGAGGGCGACGGGCGCGCGCCCGCTCCTTGGCGGCCCACGTGACGGACACGCTGAAAATCTTCCACGTGACAGGCAAGCAGACTGAGTTATAGGGTTGGACTTTCTAGTATAACCGTGATTGTCGAAGGTTTTGGGATGGCTTGCTGCTGTTCTTCTTTTCTAGGAGGTTAGGAGGAGACACATAAGGTGGAAAATACTTTCTGTTTTTTCTGTATTTTGCACGTTCTTCAGTCGTTAATAAAAGCACTTTTTAAGTTCCGAAATACTGCTTTTTCCTTACCGCCATGTTGGTTCTAGAGGAGGCTCGCGAGATGCTAGTATGTATCGCGAGATCTCTCGATTCTCGCGGGACGTTGTTGGCAGAGCAGTTGTCCTGGATGGCGAAGCCTTGGGTTCCGGGGGCCTGGGACCCGCAACTCTTTCTACAAGGCAAGTTGTTAGGGAGGGGCCTCGGGCGTGTGCCTCTTGGTGCTGGGAAACGTGCTGTGTCAGCTTCCCCTAATCTTGAAGGGAATACAGTGGCCCTATTGAGGCGGCACAGTCCTTCCCACCCCCTGCGTGTGCTCCGCCACCTGCAGAATCCTTTGCACCCTTCAGCCCGGGCAGTTCCCCGCGCAGTGATAGTTCTTCCCCCGTCCCACTCAGTGGAAGTCCGGAGCCGTGCTCGTACGACGTGACGATCCCATTGGATACCGTTCATCTTACTTTCAAACGTTCTTGTCAGTTTTTCGCTTTGTTGCCATTTTCTGAAGTATTCCAGATCTGTTGTTAACCATTCTGTCACTCTTTCTGCCGTAGTACCTTTCTCCAGTCGCCTATAACAGAACTCCGTCCATCTCTTCTCTCTGGGTATCATTTACTCCCATTTATATGGCCATTAATAACTTCCTCATCTCTGAGACTTCATATTTACAATAACTTTTAGCAGTGTTTGGAGATTCCTTTACAATTTCTGACACTACTTGAGATCAGAATAAAATCATTCTTTTCATCATTATGTATGTGATTATTAACTGGAAATTATCCGTATGGTTTTGATTACAACTTTTCTGAGATTGCCACCCTTGATATTCAGGGATGGTTATTTTAGGTTACATGTTTAAGGAAATGGATTATTTTAGGCCAAATTTTTAATTAAAAGCATATTTCTCATGAACTTTGCAAAGTTTGAGCTCATTTTTTTCATAAGTGAGTTTGAAATTATTTTCTCTCTAGTCCTCTCATATCCCCTCACAAATAATTCTACCTTATGCATGTGTTTTTAGTATCCTTTAGCAATGTTTGAATTTTATGTAGTATTTGGAGTGGGGAATTAAACTAATCAGATAATTTGGTACTTTTGTCTTTTTTAGACTATAAAAGTAAAGCTGCAAGTTTGTAATCTCAGAGACTTGGGAGGCTGAAACAGAAGGATCATAAGTTCGAGGCCAGCCTGGGCAATTTAGAGAGACTCTGGTTTCAAAATAAAAAGGGCTGGGGACATGTCTCAGTGGTAAAGCATCCCTGGGTTTCATTCCCTGTATCCAAATAAATAAATAAATAGAGTTGTTTGTCCCTACACTTGCTATAGAGAGATTCAGAGAGTGGAACCTCCCCCTGTTTCATATTGCCATTGCCACCAAGTTCCCTTTTTTACTCTTATATCTGCTCCACTAAGTACCCACTGTTTGTGGATGTTTTTATGATTTACTTTAGTTTTTTTTTTTTAGTTTTTTTTTTTAATGAAGGGGAGAAAGTGGAGGGGATTGTTTTATGTATACTACCCCAACAATAACAATCAGCAGATTTTCTACTCTGTTAAATTTTTATCTAGTTATATATGCCTATTTTTAGGACTCATGTATACATGCTTTCTAAGTTCAAAAGAAAAGTGTTTTGCTAGTGTAGTGATGTGAAAATATCTCTAATTATAGTCCTATTATTTTTGCAGTGGAAATGATTTTAGTGTGTTGGTAGTTTGGCACAAAAGAAAGTCCGTATAAAACAAAGGTTTAAAAAATCACTTGAGTTTCATATTTTTATGTTGAAGTTTTATGTTATGTATTTACTTTTTGGGGGAGGTACTGGGAGTTGAACCCTTGGGCACTTAATCACTGAGCTACTACATCCCAGCCCTTTTTTCTTTTTCTTTCTTTTTTTTTTTTTTTGACTTAATTGCTGAGATGGGCCTAAAACCTCCTGCCTCAAGCTCACCAGTTGCTGGTATTATAGGCACCACTGCTACTAGCTCATATATTTATTTTTATATGGTATGTTACTTACATATTCTAAATTGTAACTCAAGCATGTCTGTAGGGGTTTTTTACGAAGCTTATCAGCTTAATTAAAATAATAGTTATGACTGGATTAGTGAGCTCAACTGAAGAGTTGTAGATAACAGAAGTACAAAAACATCTATTTAAATTAAAAGTTGCTAAAAAGCTATCATTTTGTGGTTGGTTTTTGTGTTCTTTCACCCCAAAACTTTTATCAGTAATATTATCTATAACATCTGTTATGTTTAAAAATGTATATACTCTTTAAGCATTTTTTTTTTTTTATTGTAATAGATCAAGTAGGAATGTTGAGGAACAGAAAGAAGCAAGTGTTGAGGTGTGATGTGGGAAAGAGAGAAAGATGATATGGAATATTGGGTGATAATGAAATTGAATTATAGAAATTGCAGAGAAAAGAGTAATACATAATACACAAGTCACAGTCAAGAATAGGCATGTGCATAATGGTTTGAGGGAAACTTGAACAGAATTTGGAAAGAGTATTTGAGGCAGTTTTTTCCTCTTAAATAATTGTTTTAGATGTTTCTCCAGGCTATTTCCAGAATTACTAGATGGTACCTGTAATAAAAATAACTGAAGTTGATATTTAATTGAAACTTTTGTGAATTTTTTCCTTATTAAAGCCATTAGGTTAAATAACACTTGTTAAGTACATTTTATTACTATTTTTAGAAGTAGGAAATTGTGGAAATTATAGTGGGTTTAAAGATCACACTCTTTGGAGTGGCCATTGCAAAGATATCTACATTAGTTTAGCATAGTAATTGGGTCTTTGGTAGTCTTGTGTGCCTCAGATCAATACTATATATTCCTTACTCTTACAATTTTGTGTTGTAAACTGCTTTTGGTAGTAGGTCTTAAAAATTGCCAGTCTTTTACAGACACTAATGTATTTGAGGTTCTTTGTAAAAATATTCTGAGAAAACCCAAGGAAGATAGAAGTATTTACGTGGTTTTAGTTTTCTTGAGTAAAACTTAAACAACAATTTTTATTTTCTTATTATTAACTCACAGAAGTAATGAGATCTAAAAAGCTTCAGCGATGGGAAGAAATTAATAAAAATGATAATGTATTACTGATTTTATCCTCCCGTGAATGTTTTCTTTAGTCTGGCACCATGCTAATTTTCAAAATTTCTAACTTATTGAAGTGTATTTATTTATTTATTCTGTATAACTCATCATACATATCATGAATATGAGGGCTGGGGTTATGGCTCAGTTGTAGAGCCTTGCCTAGCATGTGTAAGGCACTGTGTGGGTTTGATCTCTGGCACCACATAAAAAAAATAATAAAAAATAAAAATAAAGATTTTATATATATATGATTTTATTGATTACTTCTTGAATCAGTGTGCAAGAATATTGTAATAATTACATGGCCAGAAATATTAAGTTGCTTAAAAAAGAGGCGCAGGTGCTTAAAAAAGGTGCAGGTGCTTAAAAAAAACTAATTTCATATGAAAATTCAATTTGGAGTTATCTACAAGGAATAATTGCTAAAAGACCCATTTTCATTGAGTGTTTAATATAAATATTATATATACTGTGGTGCAAATTTCTGTAATTAATATTCGGATAACCATTGTCATTCTACTTAAAAAAAACTATTGGTAAATATCTTTCAAAACTTTAAGTCTAAAACCATGAAAATATGGACTTAGGTCTTTTGTTTGAACCTGCCCTTTCCGTCTGATCTGTTTTTTTCTTTTTAGATTTTCTTTCTCATTTATATAGGTAATTTTCAATTTGTCAGAGATAAGTGAGTTGAGAATATCGTTGCATAATTGATCAAACTAGTTATTATTACTTTTTTTGTGTGTGGTACTGGGGATTTAACCCAGGGGCACTTTACTAATGAGCTACATCTGTAGCCATTTTTGAAATTTTATTTTGAGATATCTTCTTACTAAGTTGCTGAGGGCCTTGGTAAGTTACACAGGCTGGCCCTGAATTTGTGATCCTCCTGATTCAGTTTCCCGATTATTATTACTTTTTTTTTCAATAAGTATATTTGTAATTTAGAGTCAGTGATTCAGCCACTGTTTGTTGAGTGCTAGTGATCCCAGCCATTTGAAACAGCATAGATCCTGGATATAAAAAGGTCTCTGAGACCTTCATCATTATACAAAATACATGTATGAAGATGTGAATTTGGTGTCAATATACCTTATATATAATCAGAGATATGATAAATTGTGGTATAAAAGTGTATTAAGAATTGTAATGCAAAAAAAAAGGTCTCTGAGTGTTCAAAATAACACAAGCAGTTATTCATTGCTTAGAGAGGAGGATACATTCTGAAAAATATGATTGATTTAATTGTTACGTGAACGTTATAGAGTGTACTTAAACTAAGACGGTTGTGACAACACTGGGTGATACAGTCTAATAGTGGGCCATTGTTGAGATCTTGTCTCAAAAAAGGAGGTTGGGCACTATGGTGCACACCTGTAATCCCAGCTTCTCAGGAGACCAAGACAGGAGGTTTGCAAGT